AAAATACTTGAGTGAAAATTAAAATTTTAACCAACTATTTTCATTTATTAACTACTGTGCGATGCACTCATCGGTTTTTAAATTTGCTTACAGCTATTGAACTTTAATCGGAAATACAAAAATTGAATAAATGATGATAATAATATTATAAATTAATAATTATTATATCCTCTCTGTTTATTGCCTATCTAGACGTATTCAGGCCGTTTAATTCGAGTTTGTTTCGTTTATAAATATAGAACGTGTAGTAGGGACTTGCGATTTGGGTCAAAACGCACACTCGAGTAGAGACAATAAACTACTCGTTCCACTTCTTACTCATTACAAAAAAAGATTTCAAATTAAAGTAARTATAAATATAGTTATTAGTAGGTATCTCATTTTCATTTCTTTTTTATATTATATTATGGGTTTTGCTGTAGGAATCATAATTATAATGTAACTATGTAAATATATACAGCGAATAATATACATTTAAATGTATATGTTTCAGCTCGTGTTTAATTATTTTAGTATAAGTGAGGTGGGAAAATGTCTATGTTTGAGGGGGATTTGGCACTAGGGGAAATATATTTGTATGTATTATTCGAATTAACGAGTGGTGGAATTTAGCAACAGACTATAATGATTATTATTATCTATTAATAAGATATACAGGCTAGCGCCTAATACTTAGTTTCTATAGTTTTATAAGTTTTTTTAATACTTTAACAATTAAGCTTAAAGTGTTTTTACTTGTAATTACTTAGGACAGTTTATAAATACTCAGAAGTCTGGAATAATAGGTAACAGCTTATAAATAACAAAGTGTTGTAATAATTATTAAAGAAATTATTAAATTCTTAAGGGCTTTTTAAATTAATGTATAACTATTTTGAATAATATTATAATATTTTAGTAAAGAAACGTTTACTTTGATTTATAATTAACTATGGTAATATTAAAATGTTATCTAGTATGTTATATATAATATACATTATACATATTATATGATTTAATTGATTTTTATGAACCTATAGTTAAATATCTAAGCCGTTGTACTGTTGTAGGTAGGTGAAATTCGTATATTTTAGATTAAATCTAGATTAAATTTTATAGACAATGTCCAAACTATTTAATTTTGATAGTTAGAATTTATCATAACTGCTACCTATACAAACGATTAATAAATGACTGAGGTTTGAAGTCGGTGGCTATGACTTGAATAGTATAAAAAATTAGTTTACCAAATAGTAGTAACTACAATTATGCGTAATATTACACATATATTACGGCTTACTACGGATTATTATTAACTTGTTAGGAGTCCTTGGTGGTTTTGAAATGGATATCTTAACTAGCTTAACTGTTGACTGCAGTCTTATTGTTAATCCAGTAATATTGTCATCACATAATATTATTATACATTAATATTAATATATGTTGTAAATTGTAATGTTTTCTTGTGCCTATTACGATTAACTAATGAACACAAATAACACAAGTCAGTTCGATTTTGAAAAAAAAAAAAAGCAATTCCTATTTCATTTTAAGGACGTCCTGCCATGCGAGGTCACGAGTCACGACCGCCATGCGTGGGGCGCGACAAATACAAGACGGCCATGGGATTAGAAATGGCAACAAATACTAAAGATTTCAATATGATAAAAAGCGGTTATCTTTTACTACTATAAATTCAAGTTTAGAGTTCTATAACAGGGTATGTCTCCTGCAATCATAATAGTTGGACAGTTGTACCTATAAATTATAATATGATTAAAGCGTATAATATGTAATATCGATAAATTAAGAAATTAATATTTAAAAACATTTTACATAATAGTTTGATATATATTTACGTCAATATTGTATTKTTCGTTAATGCTTGTGAAAACGTTAGATTAAAGATTAATTATGGTAACAAACTAAACAGTAATTGCATCACTAAATGCGTATAATATGATTTAAAATAACATCAATGGGAATTCGTAAAAACGCATAGATAGGTACGCACAATGTTAATCGAAAAGTAACTGTTATTATTGCCGTGACTAAGCGAACAAAAGCATATTATAATGTGGTCGAATCACGACAAAAATTCACGTCACGTCATAAATATTGAGGCATAAAACTATAATAGGACTTAGAGTTATGCCTACATAGGTATCATATATAAATCAATTAAATAACAGGAAACGGTTTATACAAACTTAAAACGAAATATTTCATTAAAATGCATTAAAAAAATAATAATATTTTGAGGTACTTTTTACATTTATACGTACCTTGGTAGTTGTAGGTAATATTATAATATTGCTATTGATCAGGTGTTCACTTATCTATGTTATTATATCTTATGTATGTATGTGTTAATAATGTGGTTATTTTCTTAACACCAGGCTATTATTATTTACACGGAATTTTTANTTCAAAAATTAGAATTAGAATACATTAATTATTAAAGGAAAGATGGGGGTGAAAGAAGCTGGAGAATCATCTTGTATATAAAAAAAAAAATAATTAAATACCTAGGCCTAAATTGGATTATAAAAATTAAAAATTAGAAACCAATTTAGGCTATTCGTGGTTGTAAAAATAGATAAAATAATTAAAATCAGTAATGTTATTACTAGTAATTAGAAAGCATAATTATTAACAAATTATATATAAGAGTTATGCATCTAGTGTTAATTATCAGCATCAGTATCTATACCTAATGATGAGCATGGATAATAAATTTATGATTACAAGATGGAATAATTCAAATTTTAGAATATAAAATATAAAATAAAGACTCCTGCCCTCGAATGGCCCAACTGTCGAGGTTTAAAAATACCTTTAGGTGTAAGGTGATGTTTAAGTTAGAAGTTGATTCTTCCTAATTGCCAAGAATAAATATATTTCTTAGGTAAATGTACTGTGCATTTTTTTATCATTGTATCAATATTGTTCCCTGTATTTTTGTAAAATAATACACAAAATCAAAAACTCGTAACTATAATATCAATATCAATTTAAAACAGTTTATTTTCGCTAGGTACTCCTGTAATATTTGATAAAATCGACTTACGAGGTTTTGCAGTGTAGCAACACTCGATATCATGGTCTGTGGGTGATCTGATATATATATATATTATGGATAACACACTAATCATATATGAATTGTTGTTTAAACTTAATGAAATATAATTTCTTCGAACAACGTTTACTGCGTATTATGTAATGAATTAATAAAAATTTTTGGAGGGGCTAATTTTGATATTGGAGGGACTAAGCCCCCCGAATTGCGCTCTTATAGTTCCCAACCAAATCGTTTTCGCATCATCTTAATTTGTATTAAAATAATGGCGTGCGGTACAGTAAAATTCCAGCACGATATAACTCATATACGTTTGTCATATAGGTAGGTACATAGTATAATTTA